TTTTTTTCTTTTACCCTGGTCCTGAGACTTGAACTCTGGGCCTACCACTTGAGCCACGGTGCCACTTCTGACTTTTTTTTTTATTTTGAGTAGTTTATTGGAAATAAAAGCCTCATGGAGTTTCCTGCCTGTGTTGGCTTTGAACCTTGACCCTTAGATCTCAGCCTCTTTAGTAGCTAGGATTACAGGGATGAGCACTGGTGCCTGGCTCCCTTAATTATTTTTTGCAGTAGTGTTTTAATAGTCATGGATTCTTTTAGTCTTTGTTTATTATGGCAGCTTTTTATCGCTGAAAAGTTTGAAGTATAGCTTTGATGGGTACAGTAGTTTAGATTGGCTAATTTTGTCTTTCAGAACTTGAATTATGCCATGTTATGCCTCCTTGAATAAAGTGTCTGTTTTAAAAATTTGCTATTATTGCCATTACAAATTACTTTCTCCTCTCTTTAACATCTTTCAACATTATTTATTCTGTATATTTAACATTTTTACTAAATAATGTGTGTAAGGGTGCTTTTTTTTCTTCTCATTTTGCCTGTTTGGAGTTACATAGGCTTCCATCACATGGATGACCCTGTCTGTCTTGAGGTTGGGCTATGTTCTGTAAAGTTATTAAATGGATTCTCTGTGCTTTTAGTTTTAAATTCTTCTTTATTTTCTATTTCCACAATTTGTAAGTTTGATCTTTTGATAGATACCACTAAGTCTTGTAAGTCCCCTTAATATATTAAGTGTTCTTTTCAACCTATTTGACTGATGTAATTCCTTGGCTTTAGCTTCAATTTCTGATACCCTATTTTCAACTTCTTCTGTTGTATTATATAGGCTTTCTATTGAGTTTTTTATTTGGGCACTTGAGCTCTTTGTTTTTCAGGGTTTTTGTTTGATTTTTTTCCCCTTAAATTTCTCTAACTGTGTTGAATTCCTCTGGCATATCTTGCATTGCCTTCTTTATTTCATTAAGCTGCTCATTTTTTATTCTTTAGACTTATTTTTCTTATTGTTTGACTCCTCCTTGAATTTTTTTCAGTTGTTCACATATCAGTTTTGTTTTTAATTGCATTAGCCATTCTTGTCATTGTTTTGATTACTTTGTTAAATGTCACTTAAATCATTTGTTATGGTATTGCTGGTATTTGAGCGAGACATTTGCTTTATTTATTCTTGAATTTCATGATCTTTCTTAGACATTTAGACATCTTGGTTAGAGATTTTGGAGGTTTCAATCTCTTGTATACTGGCATTTGGTGGTTCTAGATTTCTTAAAATGGGATTATGGCAGAGTGTTGGTTTATGGGTTCTCAGGATTGGTTTTGGTTGACAAATAGTTAATTTCGTCCCTGAAGATATATATATGGAACTCTGCTCTATTCAGAGTGAGGATGATTGATTTCAAAGGCTCTTGAAGGTGGCAAATCAGTATTGTGTTTATGTTAAGTTCTACCGGAGATGAGTCACTGCTATTGTTCTGATGAATATAAGATCTGAGGTATATTTGCATGCTCTGGGAAGGCTTTCCTTAACCACAGTGGTAGTAAGTAGTTCAGTCACTTGGACAAGTCTTCTTTCTTGATTAATTCCCAAGCACTTTATTCTTTGGATGGTGGTACAAAGCGAATTATTTTTGTTATTTTTCCTCAGATTGCATGTTGTTGGTATATATTGAAATGCGATTTTTTTTGTGTTAAATTTATATCCTGCTGCTTTGTTGAATTCATTTTTATTGGTTCTGGCAGTTTTATTGGCCTGCAAACAGATACTTTTACATCTTTCCAATTTGGAGGTCGTTTATTTCTTTTTCTTACATAATTTCCTCTGTTAGAACTTTTCAGTTGCTATGTAGAACAAAAGTGACAAAGCAGGAATCCTTTCCTGTTTCTGATCTTAGATCTTTTATTCCTTCACTATGGAGTGTGGAGTTTTCATTTGTGGCTCTTATTATTTTAGGATACTATAATTTCTTTTGATTCCTGTTCTTTTTTAATACTTGTATTATGAGTATTTAAATTGAGTAGTCAAATGGTTTTTTTTTTTTTTTTTTGGTCCAGTTGTGGGGCCTGAACTCTGGGCCTGGGCGCTGTCCTCAGCTCTTCAGCTCAAGGCTAGCGCTCTACCACTTGAGCCACAGCGCCACTTCTGGCTTTTTTTCTTTTTGCTTATGTGGTGCTGAGGAATCGAACCCAGGGCCTCAGGCATGCAAGGCAAGCGCTCTACCACTGAGCCACCTTCCCAGCCTGTTTTTTTTCTTATAGAGATGATCATGTGATTTCTTTTTCATTATTCTCTTAAGATGTTGTATTACATTTGTCAAATTTTGTACATTGAGCCATCCTTACATTCTAGGAATAAGTTTTACTTGGTTATGTTCTTTAGTCTTTTTAATATTCTGCTGAATTGGGTATGGCAGTACTAGTATTTAGTTGAGTTTTACATTAGTGTTCTTGAAGGATATTGGTGTGTGTAATTCTCTTTTCTTTTCTTGTATTTTTTTCAGTAATAAAATTGGAACTCAGGGCATCCTACTTGTTAGGCAGATGGTCTACAGCTTAGCAATGGATCCAAGCCATTTTTATGCTGGCTATATTTTGAGACAGGCTCTTCTTTGTGCCTGGGCTGCCCTGTTCTATGACTCTCCTTTTTATGGGCCCTGTGTTGCTGGGATGACAAGCATACACCACTGCTCCTAACTATTGTGCTTCCCTTGTAGTTAAGATGATGGGCACATGTCACTGCATCCAGCCATGGGTAGAGATGGAGTCTCACAAACTTTTTTTGTTCAATCTGGCTTTGAAATTTGATCCCTACCCCCATCTCTGCCTCCCAAGTAGCTAGAATTAGAAACTTGAACCACTACTCTTGGCTGGTGGTTTCTTTTTCTTTTATTTTTAGTTGGTCATGGGTCTTAAACTCAGTGCCTGGGTACTGGCCCTAACATTTTTTTGCTCAAGGCTAGAATTCTACCACTTTGAGCCACAGCACACTTCCAGTTTTTTGGTGGTAAAGTGGAGATAAAGACTCTCATAGACTTTCTTGCCTGGGTTGGCTTCAAACTCCGATCTCAGATCTCAGCCTTCTGAGTAGCTAGGCTTACAGGTATGAACCACCAGTTGTGAACCATAGTTCAGTTTCCTTTTTCCTTGCAGTGACTGGAGAGTCTTTTCTGTCTTCATATATATATATATATATGTATATATATATACACATGTGTGTGTATATATATATATATATATATACAATTTTTGTATATAACTATATTTATTTTATATATAAATATATGACGATATTTATTAACATTCAAAATGCTACCACTTGAGCCACAGCACTACTAAGGGATTTTGAGGTACCTAAATAGAGATGTAATTTCCTGTCTGGCCTTTGAACCTTGATCCTACAATCCCAGCCTCATGAATAGCTAAGATTGTTGGCAAGTGCTACCAGCACCTAGCCTAAAATGAGTTTTGTAAATGTTCTCCTTCAATTTTTTGGAAATGTCTGAGAAGTGGAATCATGGTGTTTTTATTCACTTCTCCTTTAGTATGGGCAGTAGTTGTAGAAGGTATGCTTACTTATTGTGCTTGAGGCTATGTGCTCCATTTTCAGGACTATCTCACCAAAAACAAAACAAACTATCTTACATTTTCTTATATACCTAATTTAAAGTAGCTTCTCAGTCTCTATTTAGGTCTCTGTTTTATTACTATAGCAGTTGTTCCTACGTTGATTTGTTACCATTTTCTGTCAAATTATCCCATTCCAGTATGTACAACACAAGCTCCTTCTGTTTGTTTCTGGTTGTGCTATTACATGGGCATGGTTGATAAATTCATTGGAGATTGGTGATTAACTCATGATTCAGGGGATAGTACTGAGATTTCTAACCCTTTAATTATATAATTTCATCTGACCACCAGTTTTTTTTTTTTCTTTTTTTTTTGTTGGTCTTGGGGCCTGAACTCTGGGCCTGGGTGCTGTCCCTCAGCTCTTCAGCTCAAGGCTGGCACCCTACCACTTGAGACACAGTGCCACTTCCGGCTTTTTCTGCTTATGTGGTGCTGAAGAATTGTATCCAGGGCGTCATGTATGCGAGGCAAGCACTGTATCACTGAGCCACCTTCCCAGGCTCTGACAGTTTTTATCCTGAAATTATGTAGAGTCCCCCACAAGTATCACTTCATTACCATAAACTTCAATGTAGTTGAAAAGGTTATATTATGAGTGATTTTAAAAATAGCATCCTATCATTCAGCAAATCACAAAGGTTGTAGGATCTATTGTAATGGAAAGCAGACCAAATATTTATTTTTTACTACTTTACAAGATCATATTATTTATGGGATTTTCATAATAAATGAATATGTAAAATCCTTAGTTGTAATGTTTTGTATAGATTGCAATGGCTATATTGCTGTAACAGTTGGAAATGTTCCTTTTCCAACCATATTCTCTCACTCCCCTATTTCTTCTTCTGCTGTTGTGTTCCCATTTTGCTAAGCACTCCTAATCTTCATTTTTGTATTTTTATTGTTATGTAAGACTTAGGTGGATTAGGGTTAACCTGGCTGGAAGCAAGAAGAGTGACACTAGTGGCACATCACCTCTTTTGTTTGTATTCCTTCATGTTAACATTGTTGGTTTTCTTTTTCTGAATGAATTGTGGGCAGTGTAGGAAAGAGTCTGAATTCTCTCTCTTTTTTTTCATGACATATAATAGTGACACCTAAGTGTAAGATACCGTGGTAAATAGTGATGCCTTATGATTGTCCTGATTCTTGGGTTATCTTCTCTGCTTTTTGAGTGACATTGGTAATTTTCAAGAAAAGACATGGTTTTCTCATCATTAAAATGTTTTGTGGAAGCGGAAAAGAAGCTCTTGATTATTTACTCTTTAGTCTTTTTGTAGAGATTTACTAGCTATTGGAAAGAAGTATTTGTTGTGTTTGCTATACAAGAGTTTATGTAACATGGTATTTTAATATGGTTTTGTAAATATTCCTTTCCAGTTAACAGAAGATGAAATTGCAACCATTCTAAAATCTACATTGAAAGGATTAGAATATTTGCACTTTATGAGAAAAATACACAGAGATATAAAAGCTGGAAATATTCTTCTCAATACAGAAGGACATGCAAAACTGGCAGATTTTGGAGTGGCTGGCCAACTAACAGTAAGTTTAGGCTAATAATTTTGGAAACATTTTTGACTGTTTGCTTATCTGTTTGATAACTTTTGGGACTATTTGGGAATAGTTTTTTTTATTACTCTTTTGGAAAAGAAATTATAATTGAACCAAATATGTTATCATTTTTTAAAAATTTACTATTTAAGAATGATTGAATGTGAAAGTACATCTTATCTTCACATTACTTAAATTTTCTGAAAGTGAGCTGCATTGGTTGTCCTAAGCACATTGGTTTTTAAATTTTATTGCAGTGCTATCTTTAATAACTGTCTTTATTGTGAAGTAAATACTGTGGATTGGATTACTTCAGAATTAAAAAGTCCTAAATATGTTGTGTTAAACTAGTCTAAGTTGGGAAAATAGTAAATTTCCAATGGGATCTGTAGTATATGATGGTTTAACATGTATTTTAATGTTTGTAAATGTGTTGGGTTTTTGTGGTAGTTATGTCTGTGTAATGTTAATGCAGGATACAATGGCAAAACGCAATACTGTGATAGGAACTCCATTCTGGATGGCTCCTGAGGTAATTCAAGAAATAGGCTATAACTGTGTTGCTGACATCTGGTCTCTTGGCATTACTTCGATAGAAATGGCTGAAGGAAAACCTCCTTATGCAGATATACATCCAATGAGGGTAAGAAAATTTTTCCTAAAATTGTTGACATTTTAAATGTTCAAGTGTCATAATATCAGAGTAACTAAATATAAAATAAGTTCATTTGAGAAATAGAAGAAGCAACTCAAAAACGTATATGAAATAATAGAAGATCCTGAATAGCAAAAACAATCCTTAGCAGGAAAAACAGTGTTGGAGAAATATCAATACCAAACTTCAAACTCTTATTATAAAGCTGTAGTTATAAAAACAGCTTGGTACTGGTACATGAACAGGCCGTAGGACCATTGAAATAGAATTAAAGACCCAGAAATAATCCTACAGTCCTATGGCCACCTAATCTTTGATAAGGGAGCCAAAATCATTAGATGGAAGAAGGACAGCATCTTCAACAAATGGTGCTGGCAGAATTAGCTATACACATGTAGAAAAATGAAGTTAGATCTTTATATATCACCTTGCACCAGAATCCAAATGGATCAAAGACCTTGAGGTAAGAGCAGATGCCCTCAGAATGTTACAGAAGGGATAAGGAATATATTAGGGCTTCTTGGCACAGGTCAAAACTTCCTAAATCAAGGTCTAAAAACACAACAACTCAAAGAAAAGCTGAATAAATGGGATTGCATTAAACTGCAGAGCTTCTGCAAAGGACACAGCTAGAAAGATAAATAGACCACAGATTGGGAGAAGATCTTCACTATCTATACAACAGACAAGGCCTTCATCTCAAAAATACAAATAGAACTCAAAAAATTAACCCCCCCCCAATAACAAATCCTTAAACAACTACCCCATTAATAAATGGGCTAAAGATTTAAAAATAGACTTCTTTGGATAGGAAATAAGATTAGCCAGTAGACACATGAAGAAATGTCCAACATCTCTTACCACAAAAGAAATGCACATTAAAAGTACATTGAGATTACATCTCACCCCTGTTAAGAATGGCCATTATCAAGAAAACAAATAATAGTAGATGCTGGTGGGGATGTGGCCAAAAGGCAATGCTACTACACTGTTGGTGGGAATTTAAACTGTTTCAACCACTCTGGAAAGCAGTATAGAAGTCTTCAAAAGACTAAACATAGAGCTATCCTATGATCCAGCAATCCTACTGGGCATTTACCTAAATGACCACAAACAAGGCCACACTAAAATTACCAGCACAACTATGTTCATTGCAGCCTTATTGACCATCACTAAGATAAGGAACCAACCCAGATATCCCTTAGTACATAAATGGATCAAGAAAATGTGGTATGTGTACCCAAATGCAATTCCATTCTTCCATCAGAAAGAAAATAAGGAAATAGAATTAAGTGAAATAAGCCAGGCCCAAAGAAACATAGGCTCCATAGTTTCTCTCATTTGTAATAATTAGTATATGTCTATGATAGTCCTAGCAGAGAATCACAATAACCCAATAGCTATGTATATACGACCAAATCGAAATGAATGCCAAGAGTTGGTTTTTTTATTGTTATAATGTATGGTATAAAAGTATTTCTTTATTCTTTTTATTTCTTTTGTTTATCCGCTGTTGTGACTGTGTTGATTTTGGTACCCTTTGTCTTGTATCTATGTTTATCTGATTTGGGGAAGGGAAGAAGAACAACAAAATGGTGAGACAAACGACAAAGGGTGAACCAGTGCAACAGGGCACTAGGCACTATATTGGAAATGAACTTTACAACTTGGGGGTGGGGTAGTAAGAAGGAGCGGAAAATTAGAAAAATGAAGGATGGGGTAAGGTAACAATATTCAAAAAGAAATGTACTCAGTACCTTACTTATGTAACTGTAACCCTTCTGTACATCACCTTAAAAAATAAAACAATTTGAAAAATAATTTGAATTAGATTCTGTGCAAAAAACAGGAAAGCTTTCTGTCAGATATTAGTAGCTATTAATATTTCTTTCCTTTGCATTCTTAATTTTGAGAAAAGAACTGAAGTCTCTGTTTATCTCTTTAATTGCCATTTTTTCTTCCACCTAAAATACATATAAAATCCTTGCTTTTCAGAAGAAGAGTTGCTAAACTCTCTTTGTTCTTTTAGTTTTTTGTTTTCTCAGTGTGAATATGGAAGAATTAAATACTTCAGTTCTCATTTTTCTTTTTGTTTTTCTTTCTTTTCCTTCTTTATCTGAGGCTGATATTAAAGAATCCTATTTCTAATATTACTATTTATTTACCTTTAAGATAATTAAGTATGTTTAACAATTACTTTTTTAGAAAATAGGATTCCGTTTTTTTATACCATTGTATGCTTCTGTGGAGTCCTTTTCCAGGATTAATTTGTGAATTTGAATTAAGTCTTATTTTCTTTGTTTTAAGGTTTTAGATTTATTAGTACGTGAGCCTCTGTCATACTAAAGAACATTTTTCTTTGTAAATATATTGCCCTCTAGTGGCTATAGTTATCTCAGGAAGGATCGGAATATATATGTGTTTAGGGTTTATAGGTATTTATAGAAAAGAGATGATAAGAGTGACTGGCATGTATAAATAGAAGAGAGAGAAAAGTGCAATATTTTAGAATATCCTGGAAGAGGAATAAGTTGAAATTATGGCTAATCTTATAATGCTATTTAGGCATTAAAATATATAATTAACAGAATATTATCCTGAAAATACTTCAAAATCTAGACTATATAGAGAGCTTTATAGAGGTATTAGTTTCAATACTACAGTTATAAGTATATGTTATGCGACGGGCGCTGGTGGCTCACGCCTGTAATCCTAGCTACTCAGGAGGCTGAGATCTGAGGATCGCAGTTCAAAGCCAGCCCGGGCAGGAAAGACTGTGAGACTCCTATCTCCAGTAAACCACTAGAAAACCGGAAGTGGCGCTGTAGCTCAAGTGGTAGAGCGCTCGCCTTGAGCTGAAGAGCTGAGGGACAGCGCCCAGGCCCAGAGTTCAAGCCCCACAACTGCAAAAAAAAAAAAAAAATAAGTATATGTTATGCTCCTTATAAATCCCTAAATATAAATTTCATTATGAAAAATAAAGAAAACATAAAAAATAACATGAAAAATTGCAAGGTAGACATGAAAATAGCAACAAAATTTCTCATTTCTTTTATGATTATTAGTTTTCTATTTTTAGTATTTTATAAGGATGATCCTCAAATAAGGATGTGAATGTGAGGTTTATTAAGTTATCTCAGGCAACCTAGAACTGGTATTTGATTGAAGTAATTTGAGTTCTTACATTATTGTGATTCTACTGTTTCTGTAAATCTTTTTTTTTTTTTTTTTGTAGTGGGGGATGATACTAGGAATTGAACTTAGCTTTGTGTTCGGTAGACAGATAATTTATCACTTGCTTCCAGCCCTATTGCTTTAGCTATTTTTTTTAAAATAGCTGACTGGCTAATTTAGAAATAGCTTATTTTAAAATTCCTAACTGACTGTACTGTGATCCTCCTATTTACACTTAACATAAAGCTAGAATGATAGTTTTGAGCAACTACACTCATCTCCTTTGTTAATCTTAATTTTCAAAATAAATAGTTCAGCATATTAAATTTTACTATGTGTTAGTCTCTAACAGATAGCAGAGAATTATACTATGTGGTCCCTACTACAAGAATCTATGAAATAGTAAAAGTATGCCTGAAAGTAGTTAAACACACAGACATATATGTACATCCTAGAATGCCTTGCTTTACAATTGCATGAGTCAGGTAATGAGTGCATTTCCTTTCATACAATGTCTTCTGTCTCCTCAATTTCTCTGAATCCTTTCCTCCCACCTCCACCTATGAGTTGTATAGTTCACTTTAGTCAGTGTCCTTTTCCCCCTTTTCCCAGAGTTCTGTACCCTTCCCCCAGCCCCCTGAAGATAGGCACTTGAATACACATACATAAAGAAAACAGAATCATAAAAAAATAAGAAACTGAAAAAAAGGAGATCTCACATTTCCATATCTTGTTTTTGATATGTATATTATTTTATATAAATATGGAGAGGCACTTATGCATTGCACCTACAAGATTCTCTTCCAAGAGTATTCTCTTTTGGTCTCACAACTATATATATATACATATATATATATGTATATATACATACATATATATATTTTCCTGTATAATTTATTATATCCCAGTGTATTTTAGATTTAATAACCACATATTAGAATAAACATGTACCAGTTGTCTCTCTGAGATTGACTTACCTCACTTAATATGATTTGTTCTAGTTCCACCCATTTTCCTGCAGATTATTTTATTCTAGTCTAATGGCTGTGTAAAATTTCATTGTGTGTAGCTACCACATTTTTTGGATCCACTCATATATTGTGGGGTATCTGGGGTGTTTTCAATTTTTTACTATTGTGAATAGTGTAGCAATGAACATGGTTATGCAGGTGATTATATTATATCCTGGCTCATGATGTTCTGGGTAGATGACCAGGATTGATATAGCTAGGTCATAGGGAAGATCTATATTTAGTTTTTTGAGTAATTGCCAGACTGCTGTGGTTGTACTAGTTTATATTTCCACCAAAAGTGCAGTAGGGTTCCTTTTGCCCTGCATCCTTGCCAGGATTTGTTGTTCGAATTCACAATGTTGGCCAGTCTAACTGGGCTGAGATGGAATCTAAGACTTGTTTTGATTTGCATCTCCTTTATGGCTAGGGATGATTAGCATTTCCTCTTGTGTTTCTTTGCCATTCTTATGTCTTCTGAGAAGTTTCTCCTTAGCTCTCTTGCTCATTTAGTGATTGGTTTATTAGATTTGGGAGAGGTTAGTTTTTTGAGCTCCTTGTATATATTGGATATTAGTCCTTTATCTGATATATTGTTGATAATGATCTTCTCCTAGTCTGTTGGCTGTCTTGATGTAGTCCTACTTGTCAAGTTTCTGTCTTATCTGTTGTGCCCCTGGGAATCTTTTCAAGAACTTTCTACCTATACCAATAAATTCTAATGTTTCTCCTACTCTCTGCAGTAGTTCAAATTTTTGGGTCTGACATTGAATTCTTTGATCCACTTTGAATTAATAGTAGTTT